AATTAGGGGACGACCATTTGATATTCTGGGGGGGGGGGGGGGGGGGGGGGGGGCAGGAGGATTTTGAAAATAAATAACTCAGCCTTGATAATCACAAAAATAAATGGTTTGTTCTGTGGTAGTTTGAAAATAAATTACCTGACTTGCAATGTATTGAAAATAAATAACTCAGCAGGTCTAATCGAAAGTATGAGATGGCACAAGATTCTTCATAAATTCATCTTTTTTCCAAAAAAAAAATCGGGAAACACTTCCCATATCTTTTAATAATAAAAGTATAAATATTTAAATATACTTGAAATGTCAGAAAATTGGTTTCATTTAACTTGAGGTTAATTGTCTCAGGAACACTTACCTCACTTTTATTAAATCAGGGCCGTAACTACATTGAGACAAATGCCTCATGTAGGAAATTTCAAAACCAAACGCTTGTCTCCATATCAAATTGTGTTCACCGTGAGTGTCTTGCAAGAAGCAAGTTCTGTTCTCCCTTAGACGTAGCCCCTGATTTTTCGGGATTAATGTTTCTTATTTATTTGTCTTTTGTTCATTGATTGCCCTTCTGTATTCTGTTAGTGTTGCATTCATTTTGTAATTTAGTAATTTTATTATTAACTTGATCATGAGTTTAAAAAAACACAGCAGCCACAGACTTAACTATGTGAATTACATTTTTGCTTTATCATGCATATTTGTCTTTTGATGTTGTCCCTAGAAACTTAAGTTGTACACTGAATCTATAACGTGATTTTGCTTTGAGACCAAAATATTGTCATAAAATTATTAAAACAGAACTTGCATTTTCAGTTTAAGAAAGGGTCTGGGGAACACCCAGAAGGCATGATTTTGCATCATTTGATCTATAGCTTCTTGGGCCTTCAGCGGTTCAAAAACCCTTCAAAAAAAATTTTGCCTCGCTCCGCACGGCGAAAAATGTTTGCCAATACTTTTAAAAGAGCCTTAGTTACAACCAAACTTTAATACTGTGTATGTATGCAATACATGTATATGCATTGGGAAATATAGAAGATTCATTTCTGCAGAGGATAATAATTAATTCTGATTAAATGGTACATAATGACTTGACTATACATGAATTATTTATAATAAACAAATAATTTAAAAATTGTATGTTTTCGAATATTATAAATATAGTTGTGAAAATAAATAATCAGTCCCTTGCTTTAATGAAAATGAAAAATCTTGCTTCAATAGTGCAGAAAATAGATAATCTGTCCTCTTAGTTTACAAAAATAAATAACCGATCCAAAACAAATCCTCCTGCCCCCCCCCCCCCCCCCCCCCCCCAGAATATCAAATGGTCGTCCCCTAAGGCATGTTTTACTTAAAAGCAAAATCGAAATATTCCAAATGACAGACCATGCTCCAAGTTTTTATATTTAGTGTGAATGTCCTCAATTGTTTGAGACAGATAAAAATATTGCTCGTTTCTGCATCCAATTGTTTATGCCCATACTTTGTTATCTTTTATATCATCATTGAATTCATTGAATAAGATAGTGTTTAAACCAAAGTAAAATACTCCTATTTATGGTACATCGTGGGTTTCTTTTAGTCTACCATTTTTAAACACTCATATCCCCTTTGTCTAACCTCATTGTTAATACATGTAATATACTGCACGAGTATGTATAAAATGAGATGCGTGGTATTGTATAACTAATCGAGACAGCAACCTTATGACAAAACAATACTCTCGGTCTGTTCATACATTCTTTCAGTATACACAAATTGAATGTACAATGTAGTTATATTATTATTTTTAAGTCTATAGTGATTAAAACATACTCACGCTCTAACATAGGTACCCTTTGATATCAATAACCGGATTTTGATGATGAGTGCTGTTTTTCCTTGAATGACTAGACGTTTTGGTCTTTTCGTAAATATGAAAATCCATACAATTAGAAGGAAAATATCCCATGCAAGCAAACCAGCTCGACCAGAGCTATACCACACTGCGTAAACCATATAACAGATGTACGCAATAGGAACTAATATTTTTAAGGCTGTCAAGATCAAAGTTTTTGTTTTATTTCTCCACCATGAACTTTTTAACACTGGAGGAGTGTAAAATTGCGAGAACGAGTCTGAATTCATACATGAATTTTTTATCAGAGCTTTGTGGGAAGCTGAGAGCTTGTCATCAATCACAAAACTGTCCCCTTTCACATTAGAACTTTTCTGTATGAGAGGCTGTTGCGAAGCCATGTTGAATTAGATCAGGACGTAATTGAAATATCACTGTTCATTCATTCTTCTGAAAAAAAGAAACAAATGTATCACTGCTGGTGAAGGATTCCTCTCCGATGGTATCACCAGCCCAGTAGTTCGTACTTCTGTGTTGATTTGAAATATCATTGATATGGTCATATGTATTAATCAAATGTTTGTTTACAAAACTGAACTGTTCGAATTACGAAAGCTTTTCTACTCCAGAAACATATTACTTAAGCTGTATTTGGAAAAACCTTTCGGAATTTTGGTTCCTCAATGCTCTTCAATTTTTGATTTATTTGGCCTTTTTTGGATTCAAGCATAACTGATGAGTCTTTTGTAGCTCGACGAAACGTGCGTCTGGTGTTTGATAAGTTTTTGTAATCGTTTCAAAGTTACCAGGAAATCAGAAAATCCTGCAGTTCTATCATTGTAAGAAAGTCAAAGGTCATTAGACTAACTTTTCTGGTCACGTGATAACTTAATATTTTAAGGTACAGTTATTAGATTGTTTGATCTGTTTCTAGTATTACATGTAGTTCTGTATTGCTTTATTTCCAGGAAAAATCAACTTGTAAGATGTTCAATTTAAATGTAAGGGCAAGTACTTGAACATAAATGCATTTAACAAGTAGTTTCCGGAACAAAGTTAAAACGACAATCTACGACCATATAATTACACAGAAATATTAACAAGTAAATTTGAATAACATTTGTCGTAAAATAGTTTCATCGAAACAATTCCCATAGGTTTAAGGTTGTGTTTGCTTCGATTCCTTTTTCCTACTTCCTATTTCCGTTTTTTTGTTGTTGTTGTTGCTTATTTTATCAAGAAGCTTTGTTACTGTTATCAAGTAACATTGCATACTTTTGTCCTAGGGTCGGGATGGGGTCCTTCATTTCTTTATTGTTTAACATGTTAGACATTTTTTCTTTATTCCTTCTCTATTTTTACATTTGTTCTATATTCTCTATTTATCTTTGCCCTTATTCTATATTCTTTATATTTCAGCACCCCTTAATTCTCTTTTGATTTCTTTTGGCCTATTTTGCTCTATTCTTTATATTATTTGCCCTTTATTCTGCACTTTCATCCATTATTCTCTATTCTGTAAACCCCATCCAGACCCCCATAACTCTCAATTCTCAACCGAGGCGTCATCCAAACAATAAGAACATTAAAATTTAAGGATAAAGACTCCGCATTACACCATTGCAATTTAAATAGCATTACGTCAATTTAGTGGTTCATGGCTAATCGGAATTTCTAGGGATTCGGTATTTGATTCTGAAACTCTTTTAACAGTTTAACAAGTTTTTATTGTTTTTAGTCTTTTTAACTTGGGATCTTTACTATAACATATAAAGGGATGGTGTCCTAATATGAGTGTCAGACCACCAATTCAAAATCCCTATATATTCAACCAAATTTTTCAATTTTCACAGCTCTCTAAACATGCTAAATATTTTACTTTAAGTAAAACCATGTATATCCTGACTTATACATATATCAACTTTCTACATGCCAATTTTTAAACCAATGTTTAAAGTCTTGTAGTGACACTTGATGTTCGGTATTAAAAGTAGCATGTTGGGCTACTGAAAATCTTCATTTGGATACTATTGAGCATAACTTTCCTATAACTTTGTTGCAAGTTCATGCACAAAGTAAATTTGGGTTCAAAATATATTTCTCAAACAGAAAAAGTTACATTCGTGTAAATTCATTTGCTGGTTTAGGTAAACAACAATGTCAAACGCATGATTTTTTTCAGAGTTGGGCTACTTTTACATATATTCTAAATTGGAGTGAATGAATTGGTGGTCTGGACTGATATGCATAAAACTACTTAAGTTAAGATTTGTTCTGAACGGACGGAGTTTTCTACATGTCCTAAGATAAATTATTACTACGATTGAATATCTTAATTTTTAAAAGTGGTTTAATGCATATCAGCCCTGACTCCTAAAAGTACCACTTATATCTTCATTCCGGTCGCATCAGTGTCATTCTCTACTTGACACTAAAAAAATTAACATCCGTAGAATTCTCCGAATGTGACATCATTCAAAAGATAAATGTATATCTGTTAATCAGATTTTTAGGTTGATTGTGTTTTATTAGAACAATAATTTTTAATCTTCTTCGTTTACACTTGATCATGTTCATGGTTATTTTGATTTCCAAACAATTGTCATTAGAAATATATATATTTTCATTTACATAACAAAACTAATACAAAGTCATAGCATTGAAGAATTTTTGGTCTTATTTACTAACACTGCAGTCGTACTATCACCAGGCTTAGATGGCCGTAGCCTCTTTTTGGCACAGCGTTTTTGATTTTGGTTTGTTTTTATAACTCTTTAACTATGTAATGTGTTCGACGACCTTCATACTATTTTGATGTAATCAAGCACACTAATGTTTTAGACATACCATACGTCTGTCTGGTATACCAATGTGTTTAATGAGGTTTTACTACGAAATGGTAGATGATGCTTTATATGAAACCAGATATACAAATTTTGCTATGTAAACATCATCTCTCTATTTCTCAATCTCCTTATATATACGTACAACTATATTTACTAACTGTAAATCATGTCCTCAATGAACCGTTAATTGGTTCAATTAAATATTTTTTATTTTTATACTAAGCCCCTACATAACGGTAATGACATAGTTTTAAACTTCTGTTCTGTCGATAATGACATGGTTTTAAATATCTATTCTGTCCATATAATGACATAGTTGTGATCTGATATATTGTCTTTGTTTTTATCCTGAATACAACAATAAGGAAAATGTGATATAATTGGATTTGCCAACTATTCACCGCAGTTAAATAGTCGAAATAAAAGCGTTCTACGCTGGAATTGTTTACTCACCAATCATACGTACTAAAAATGCATGAAATATTTGCCACTATACTTAATATAACCAGCAAGTGACCATTGACTGTTGTCTGCTCTTTGGTCGGTTGTTGTCTCTTTGAAATATTCCCCATTTCCATTCTCAATTGTTTTCAATATACATGAGATCTAGTGTAAAAAAATAAAATAAAATTATCTTACCACGTGTTGATTTTTCCTTTTGGAGTAAATTTTTCGACCCTTGTATCATGTGCAGTCACTCAATGATCTCGCATGTACATTGGCGGATATTATATATTACATCATACAAACTATAGTAGGTTTTATCCTGATCTCATCATCATGTCACTTAAATATTCATAAAAATAATTGTGTCAGACTGAGTAATTAGTCCACTTATGAAACAATGGACTTAAATCCAACTCATTACGACATGCGAAAATGAAGTCTTGTGTCCTCGAATCTTAAGGGCGACCTTTGCTCGAACTTAAAATTGATTTAACTGCGATAAAGAAGCTTTATAATACAGAAATACAGAATTTCTTAACCTATTACTACACAAGCTGGTGTCCGCATTTAACGTATTATTATCTTATCCGTAAAATTTAACACTTACACTAAGCGATATGACCAATAAATAGAACAAAGAGATTATTTGTACACCGAGACAAAATTTTAATCCAACTTGTTATCGTGGATTGTCGACAATTTTGTCTTCTAAAATTTGAACTCTTGGATTTGTCCTAATTTCCATGGCATTATGACGAGGTTTTGGTGACCTACGGTCATCACAACGTAGTGGCCACAATAATTGTGCCTCTACCACGTACTAGTAAGATGAGATATTGGTAACACTTCAACGGAAAGCAACCCATTAACTCATGCATGTACAATTTCCACAATTCTTAAGCGATTTAGATTTTTTTCGCGTTAATGACTGAATTCCATGCAAAAAATCCATGCACACATAAATCGATCGATCGTAAAATATTTTTTGTCAAGTGCCTTTTAGATATACGTACTTAGATAACGTATACTTTCATGATTATACTCACCCTGTTTCCGATTTTGATAAAACGTTTAAATAAAAAAATCATTATATCACATGATGTTTTATGTTTCTTTCTCGCTTGTATGAATAAACACAATACACAGTACATCCCATGATTTAACAATAAGTAAAGTCTAAAATTAGTATTATATCATTTAAAAATAGCTAGTACATAGAATATCGAGAATTTTTCAGTATTTATATATAAGTGAACCGGAACATTTTCCACTGACTTCCTTTATCCTATAAACATGATAAATATCTAATATTGCTAAATCACGCCTCATTTGACATGCTCGATTATGTGTATTTTTTAAAAAAAAAGTCAAAATATATGTGTAAACTTTTAGTAATATTACAGAAATCGCACTGCACTGTAACGGTTTTCTTTTATTCATTTTTAGAAAGTTTGGATTTTAAAAGAAATACCTTTACTATTGTATTGACACTTTTAATTTTATAATGATGTGATTATTTTACGTACACTGTATATATTGTATAGTTTGTATGACGCAACCGCTAATTAATACCCCGTTGATGTTTGCCTCCAATGTGAAAAAGGGGGGTGTAGTTTCTCAATATATATATAATATATTACATTAGATTATATTTATTGATAATTACATCACACTTTGATAAATGAATTTTGTATGACTGGTTTAAATACTCATCTGTTTTCATTGCACCTGTTTCAATCTTGAAAAAGGAAATGAGAGAGAATAAAACAAACCTGAAAATGGTTATTGCCTGGCATCTGTTTCTATTGATTGAATCATATATTGTTTCTAAATTGAAAAAGGAACGGAGATGTTATAATTCCGCCACTTGCTGTCCTTTTTTTACACTAATGTTATTGGTTATTGAGTACATAAGTTTCAGATAAAATCAGTTGTTAACGCCTTCCGTCCGTTCCACATGAAAAATTGTGAATACGGACGGGTCGTAACTGAGTGTAAATATAGATAAAACAAAAGGTATTATGTTCGAAAGGCCGAAAGGAAATTTAAGATTCACTATACACATGATACAGGGTACTTGCAGATTTCCACTAATGATCAGTATCAAACTAAATTACTTTGATTTTGGTCAAGCTTAATGTCAAGCGGTACTAGCAAATTAATCGAGACTTTTGATCAGTGAATGTAGGACTTGCAAATTTAGGTCAATATACATTTAAATGATTATAACTTCCCTGAAAAAAATATAAGATGATACTGGATTTTCTTTCATATGGAGTGCACAGGGTGAAATTATTTGTTTATTTATTCAAACAGAAATTGAACAGACTGATTGATCAATTATGCCAGGGATTGTTTGCTGATATGGAAAACTCGTCAAGAGGGATATTTTGTGGGTCATACCAAACTATTTTTTTCGAGAGGAATCTTAAAGAGGCAAATCGTTATATCTACTGTAGATTTTAGTTTTCGGAGTAGGGGCTATAATGGCAGATTTTTCTCCATTAATTATTAGAATATGAGCCAATGATTTGAAAAACACTGTTTTTATCTACCGAAAAATGTTTGATGACCATGATGACGTCACAATGGTAGGTGAAAATGACGACATAAAAGGGAAAATAAGCAAAAATACAGAAATTGGGATGGTTTTCCTTCATTTTGACCACCGCACCATACTTGCACCAATTTGAAATTTTAACATTTTGACAAGTTCATACATATCAAACTTCAGACAAAACAATTTTTGGTGAAAGGTTGGTGCGATAGTTTATTTTATATTTTTTTCATAGCCAAGCAGTGCAATAAAAGGCTGAAATTTGCCTTTAAAATGCGACCTATTCCTCTGACAAAGTTTAATTTATACATTCTTATGCCTATATAAATTTTACTTTTTCGCTTATGAATCGGTTACATGTATTTCTATTATCATTTTCGTAAGTACACATTTTTTAATTTAAAAAAAAGAAATATTGCAATGAACTTCATATTGTAACGGAGTCAAGGTGAACGATAATTTTGAGGAACACAGTTTTTTTGTTGTTGAAAATTTGAAATTTTAGATAAACTTATAATCTAACAAAATCTAATAATTTCTTATGTTTCTGGTAATCTCAATTCAAAATTAGGTGTTCGAAATTGGACAATCTTCTCTGGTATTAGGGTCGGATCCAGGATTTATGAAAAGGGGGGGTGGGGGGTTGTAATTCTAGTAAACAAAAACAAAATTAACATAAGTGGTGAGAAACATGAGATTTATTTTGTTGGCAATCAAAACAGTGAGGGGCATATGCCTTTACACTAGCCCATTTGGTTGGCCACTTGCTATCATCGTTTTCTAGCATTTTTGGTTAATGATGTGAGATTTCAATTTGCATTAGTACTTAAAGACGAGACTAAAACACAAAAACGGGTTTAAACCAGATGTGGAAATTTTCAAATTATACATATATGTTGAAGAAGACATCAAGAGTGGCGCAGTATTTTTTTTTATATGTCAATCTATATTAGCCAAGTTGCAAGATAGTAGGTCAAACTTAACTCATAATATCATGAATGCTTTCATCATCCAGAAGCTTAAATTTCTGTTTAATAACGACTTTTTGAGCTACAAACAATATATGTATTATCATGTGACATGACAGTTTAACGAATTCGACAGATACAAAGTTAGAGAATACAGTACCCAACACAAATATGCTGGTGACACAGAGATATGTCTCGCCTTTTTGTAATATTTTTTGTTTAATGCAAATATTGAATCCAAATGGCAATATTTTAACATATAAACTATGCAAAACATTCAAAGTCAATAGACCAAGAATGAAGGGTGGGTCCAATTAATCTCAATGGAAATGAGATAAGCCAATGTTAATACAACTGCATACCAAATATCTTTGACTAGCTACTAGTGGTTCCGCTTTAACTGACCTAATTACAAATTACATGTTAAGTAAGCAAAAGTTTCCAAATGAATAGACCACGACGGAAGGAGCGGGGCCAACTAATCTCCAGGGATATGAGATGTGCCAATTCTTATACAACTACATAACAAATATCACTAACATACCACTATTGGTTCCCCATAAACTGACCTCATTACAAACTAATACATTGTTGCACCGCCGATGCCGTCGGAAACAGCATAACTAAGTCTCATTTTTTGACTCCGTCAAGGCAACACAAAAACTGTTTCTCGTACCAAAATTTCTCTAAAGATTCGGTAGGATAGTGGTTAGCATAAACATGTTATGCCATAACTGTTAGCATACAAGAGTATACACCTCAATTATGAAAAATAAAAGAAGAATGTATCAATGGGACACAGATGCACCCACTTGCAAATATACATTTGTCTTTTCAGAGCCTTTTATAGCTGACTATGCGTTTTGGGCTTTGCTCATTGTTGAAGGCCGTACGGGGACCTATAGTTTTTAATTTCTGTGTCATGTGGTCTCTTGTGGAGAGTTGTCTCATTTGCAATCATACCACATCTTCTTATTTTTATATATGTCAATGTAGCTTACTCATACCCATTGAGGTTTTTTCTTTTAAACTTTATGACATTTATTTCTTTATGTTGTCATTAGCGATTACACGGGGGTTGGAGTGCCCTCATTGTTCAATAACAAATAGTAATGGGGTTACTCGAGAACAGTGAAAATGATGCGACCCTAATTCGAACATCATTTGTGTTTGGTGGTAATAAGTATTATGTATTAGTTTCATAACATTCGGTTTTTTTTCATTTATAAAAGGTCATAGCCGAAGAAGGGTGAAAGTGACGTCACCAAAATTCGAATTTGATCTGTGTTTGGTAGTAATAAGGATTGTGAATAAGTTTCAGCGCCTCTTTTCACAAAAAATCTTAAGAGTAAAAATACTCGTAAGTTATACACATTTCAGTATAACTTACTCAAAAACATGTACGATCAATTTTTTGTGAAAAGGGCTGCAAAACATTTGGTTGTGGCAAAGAAAAGTTAGGGAACGAAAACCAATTTCAGGACATACATATGGACGAGGGAAAACCGTAATGCCCCCTCCGCCACGGCTGGGGCATTAAACACTTTAAAGGACTCCACCCAGCACTAGAGACAAAACTTGTTAATATCATCAATACCCGGCATAATTTAATGAATATATAAAGTGTACACATATTAATTCATGAAAAAATGTAATAAACAGCAGTTTCACCATAAGGGCAATGGTACATTTTTTTACTCCACAGATGGACTTTAGAAGTGCATTTCGTTACCACATTCTCTTGAAGAATTACAGTAGTTTGTCTGTAGTTTTGTTTTTTGATAATTTAGCATTGATTTTCACCCTTGACATTTTCCTTGGAGTTGGTAACTTTTTACAATGTGCATGCATCTTGGATTATCTTTTTGTTGCAACATATTAAAAGTTGAATCTTGTAAAATAGAAAACAAATTGCAGTTGCTATGGGCAAAGTGTTGTTGCTAAGGAGAAATTGCAATGATTTTGCCCAGAAATGCGCATTACATTGTGTTAC